TTACATTTCTCTTCAAGTTTCCTACGGGGGTCACCCACGGGGGCCTTGAATCATGGGAACACGAGGACCGTGAGACCCACGCTGCGTTACGGGGAGGTTGGTGGGGACTCGACGGTGTGGCGTTGGGGACAGTCCACCTAACACACACCTCGTACCGAGTGACAACATAAAATATCGCTGCCACAAAGGTCTCTCGCCAGCCAAGAAACCGGTCCGAGTGGTGAGGGAGGTGGCACGGATTTGCTGGCAATCCTGCCACTGCGCACGCGGTGGCTGTGCAACTGCTGCACGTGGCTGTAGTCTGGCACTGTGGAGGCAGCAGCCAGGGTTGGTGGGTCACCCTAAACCTAGAAAGGGCCATTGCCTGAAAGTCACCTTTTATCTATTCAAATATACATATATATCCATGTTCTTTTAGGGCAGCATTATTGATGAATCTGTTGAGTTTTTGGAATTTGTGTTTGCGCACCACTGTCAAGAATGCAGTCCGAACATAATTTGTAGTTTTCAACATGTCTGTATAAAAATCAACGGTATGAGATACAACGCAATTTGCGTTCACCTTTAACGGTTTGTGGTAATAATAGGCGACGTCCCCCGTGCCATGCTCACACATTTCATTACGACCGTCCGGCCGCGCGCTAGCTTCGCGACGGCGTTATTGGCGTCCAAGCAGGTTAATAATCCACGAGCATTGGCGTCCTAGCAGGGTAATAATCCACGAACACGAAGCCAGCACCGCTGCCGCCGGCCGCAGAATGCCGTCGCCACAGTCATTGAATCATTTTTTTTCGTGAAAAATAAAATTGTAAACGCGTGCCGTGTGAATGAAATTGAGTAGAAGTAAATGTGAAATCACAAAGTCAAGCGAAGGTCGAATCAAAACATTACTCAACACAGTTTCTCTCTGGAGACCGGCAAAGACATCACACCGAGTCCGTAGCCCTCACACTCTGCCGCTAACCCGTTACACCGTGGCTCAAACAAACGAGCTCGCTTCATTACGAAATGCAAATGAATGTGGATTTCTAATCTGGGTTAAATCAACTCTCAATTTATCCCGGGTAATGGGGAGAGGGGTGGCCCAGGACACAAATAAAACCAACACGGATAATTATAAAAGGTATGTAAATGAAGCTATGAAAACATGCACTGTACGAATTTGTACCTCTGTGGAATGGACGTGAAGAGTACAGTGCAGTGAGGCTGTTTTAATTGCTTCTTAAAGCAATCGGTTTACTTGCGGACGTGTTTGCCCTAACCCTAACCCGCATAAGCTCATCTCCCCGCAAGGAGAGACGAGGGTTCACTATTTACCCATTGCATCTTTTTAACTCCAAACCTTCCTGCGTGTGTGGTGCCTGCGTGCCTCCTGCTTTATCTTCCCATTGCATCACCCAATCATTGCCCCGCACACACTTCGCGGAATCCATCCGGTGAGCCCAGACACCATCGAACGGTTTCTCCAAACTCAACACACGACAATAAAAAAAAAAGTGAATCGGCTTTACCCTTTCCTGCAAGAATACAGGAGGTGTTAAGATGTTCAAACACCAAATAGACACATATCACAAGGCATCAAGTCTGCATTAACCACACGTGATCTGATATTTGCATTGTGTTTGCTCTGTTTGCCTTTTGGCGTTCTTTGATCTAACACAGGTAAGACAAGGCCAATCAGTTTCAAGGACGATACACACATTAGTATCAAACCACGTTTGTTTGCAAGTTTTACCACAAGAATGTGTGGTTAAATGCAGACTTTGATGCCTTGTGATAGGTGTCTATTTGGTGTCTGAACATCTTACCACCTGATATATCCGCGTGACTCAGGGTTGCGAACCACGAGTTTACGAGCCGCCGTGCCGACCTCTCCTCGGCCGAATCATTTTAGCGACAGGTGCGACGGAGTCTCCGCTTCTGGTCCTGTCTGCCCGGACCTCGACGCCGTCGCCTTCAGCACGACACAAAAATTCCAATGCCAAAAGGTGCCCTCGCCATGCTGCGCATCTGACGGCCTGCCGGCGTTTCACCCACGAAAATTTCCCCTGTAGGCCGCGCTCGTCGGAGCTCGGGCGACATGCGCGCACCGGAGCGCGGCGCCGCTACCACGGCGCAATATTAAGCGGCACACCGAATGTGCAATGCAGGGCTCGCCGGTTCGGTCCGTCATCCTCCCGGCGCTCCGGTTTGAAACAACGGTTCCAGTTCCCCTCTGAGCTTCTCTTCACCCAGCGGCATCAATGGGTACGCCACGGTTAGCCTACGATCGGCGTGTGACGTGTGGTGGGGTAAAATGTGGGCACTCCTTGGTATTCCAAGACGTCTGGCCAGTGTGATCGAGTAGACCCAAGTATCTGTAAGAGGGGCTCGACAAAGCTTCCACTCGTGGAGGCCCCTTCCGCCAGCAGTGGCGTCAGCAAGTTTCACGCCTTTACATTTTAATGGCAGCGCGCTAACCACGGGGTGAACATCCCACGCACACCGCCTGCCGTGTCTGTGATCGAACGCGAGATGTCGGCAGCTGCGCCAAGCCTATCGGCAATTAGCAACCTCGTGGCTGGAAATGGCGCGAGCTCCGTGACAAACATCAAGGCCTTAGCTACCCAGCCGGAAAAATAATAAAACACCCTGCGGGCCGTGGCGCGGGGCTCACGCCGTCACACGTCCCTGACAGCCTCCGTCAGCAAGAGGCTCGAGTTCCACTTCGGGGCCGGGCGTCACGAGCGTCACGTCAACGTGGCCGCACAACGATCGTCGTCACAGTACAATCGGCCTCCGCGCTGGGTGAATCTCGACGGGCCTTGCCGCTGGAGCGACGTCCCCGCCGCGGGAGGCACCGCCTCGCCATCGAGGTCGCGTCTCGCCTCGTGGCGCTGTCTAATCACCGCACCGACGATGACCGCGACGATTACAGGGGCGACGGTGCTCGTCGGCCCCGAATGAGCGCCAAGGTGCCCGGGGGCAGGGCACCTCCTGCGTACAATGCGGTCGAGTTCACTGCTTTCATAATAATATGTACTCTGTGAAGTAAGCCCATTATGCAGGGTCTCTGCCTGCATATCTTCTACTGCATCTCTATATGATTAATGCAACGTAGAAAGGTATTACGAGGTCATAAAAAGTAATTTATGTCAAAGAGCTTTAAATTATGGTTAACAGTCGGGCACAGTGGCTTTTATTGACATATCATCCTCGGTACTCCAGCCCAGCGGTTCCCAGCTGAGGCCCACATTGCCGTGGGAACAATTTTTCTCAAAAAACACCATCTAATTTTTACTGCCAATTCCATAGCTATTTAGATTGCACTCAAATGACTCAATTGGGTTGATGCAAACAGGAGCAATCATCTCCCCCTACTGCCACACTAATGCCCGATTGCCTTGTTCACACAGGGACAGCTGGCACTGTGGGTGCCCTTTAAAATGTTTTGAATGAGATGCGATGTAAGTCACCTATCGCGCTACGAGAATAGGTTTTCCCATTTTTTCTGGAAACAAAACAGGTGTTAAGATGTTTAAACACCAAACTGAAACCTTTTACAAGGAAGGAATCATGTCTGCATTAACCACAATACTTGTGGTCAGAATGCAAACACAAGTATTGTGGTTAATGCAGACATGATTTCTTGTAAAAGGTTTCAGCTTGGTGTTTAAACATCTTAACACCTGTTTTGTTGCCAGAAAAAAGGGGAAAACCTATTCTCATATTTTGGTACTGGCAAAGGAGGCCCTATCGCGCTGCGTTAAACACAAATCGTCATCATCATTACCGTGGTTATTTTATTCACGACTCATCAACCCAGCTGGCTATTGACTGAATCTACTGATTTTTATGGCTTTTTAATGAACACTTCGCACGGCGATTAGAGTCGTTTTAAGTTATACAAATATGCTAATGGTGCAGGGTGGTCCGCGAAAATTTGTCGACGGCCGACGATGCCCTGTGAGTCGGTAAGGGTTGTGGCACCCACTGCTCACGTAAACCACAGGGACATATCGCAGATCTCCAAGATATGCCGTGAATTTATCCGTAGGGAAAAAAACAACAAGGCAGCCTCCACCGAAGCCACATCCAGGTAGTGATCGGCGCAATCTCCCACTGCAGACACCGACCCTCGGGATCACAAAGCCGACGGCAGACTTTGGGGTGAATCAATTGGTAAGCAAATTGGACGCGGAGAAAGAGCCAATTACTATAATTGTCTGCACAGTAACAAAATACTTGCTTGGCTAAATGTAGAGGAACAATGGGGCACGAAGCAAGACAGAGGTGTCTTGCTTCATGGAAGGGTACCGCGACAAATATGCGGAGGGCGACAGGTCGGGGGTCGTCTCGGTCCATCATCACGCCAGGTGGATAAACTGAGTGCTGTTGCGTCGGTCACCGTGGTTGTGCTGCGCGGCGCTCCAACAAGTGTTTTCGCGTTGTGTGTGAAAAACACGCGGACATCGCGCCCAACGACACGCACTGATGCTACCCGCACGACTGCCCTGACCATACGATTCCCTCTGGAAGTGTAATGCCAGTTAAGAGCACGTCCGATCACTCACGCTTTAAAACCGTGCATGGAATGTAGTGGATCCTAAGCACACAATGATGTCCCTAAACATGAGTTGTCCTTTGTGTTGCTTTATCGTACACTCCAGTGTGCAGAATGTTATCGGTTGCTACCTGCCTGCAGAACTCTGCTCAATCCAGCTCCTTTGACTCCGCTGGCTCTTCGGGACTTGCTTCGCACTCACGTGACGTGCGATATCAATTGGGATTACGCATCACAACCATCGCCCCCTAGGGGCGGAATCCAACCCACTTTGCAGATCAGTGCCCCGCCACCTCGTGCCACACAAAGGACAAGCTGCCATTAGGTGGTCCCCTCGGCTCCGATACGATTCGCACCCTTGCAGGTTCAACATAAACGCAGGTATCGTCATCAGCGTTATTATCAATATTTAGAACAAACGATGAGGACGACGATGCACGCCGCCCGCGACGCTCACCGGCCGAGGTGCCGTACACGTCCGCGGCGGGGCCGGCGGGGTCGGCGAGGAGCGCGGGGCCCGCGGCGAGGTGATCCCCGACGCCGCCGCCAGCGCGCTCGAAGGGCAGCAGCTCGGGGGGAGAGCCGTCGAGCACGCCCGTCGACGCCACGCCGTCTGGGCACGCGCACAGAACCACGTGCACACGTTCACGCACAGGGGTTGGGGAGAGCGGTCGGGTTCACCGGTCTGTTTCCTCCAGTCTCGTGGTGGCATCACCGCACCGCCACTCTGGCTCAGGAGGGGCTGGAGAAGCCTGCCCATCACACTGCAGGTCACAACAACACACTCACCCACTCGCTCACCCACCACACTACAGGTCACAACAACACACTCACCCACTCGCCTACCCACCACACTACAGGTCACAACAACACACTCACCCACTCGCCTACCCACCACACTACAGGTCACAACAACACACTCACCCACTCGCTCACCCACCACACTGCAGGTCACAACAACACACTCACCCACTCGCCTACCCACCACACTACAGGTCACAACAACACACTCACCCACTCGCCTACCCACCACACTACAGGTCACAACAACACACTCACCCACTCGCTCACCCACCACACTGCAGGTCACAACAACACACTCACCCACTCGCCTACCCACCACACTACAGGTCACAACAACACACTCACCCACTCACTCACCCACCACACTACAGGTCACAACAACACACTCACCCACTCGCTCACCCACCACACTGCAGGTCACAACAACACACTCACCCACTCGCCTACCCACCACACTACAGGTCACAACAACACACTCACCCACTCACTCACCCACCACACTGCAGGTCACAACAACACACTCACCCACTCGCTCACCCACCACACTACAGGTCACAACAACACACTCACCCACTCACTCACCCACCACACTGCAGGTCACAACAACACACTCACCCACTCGCTCACCCACCACACTGCAGGTCACAACAACACACTCACCCACTCGCTCACCCACCACACTACAGGTCACAACAACACACTCACCCACTCACTCACCCACCACACTGCAGGTCACAACAACACACTCACCCACTCGCTCACCCACCACACTACAGGTCACAACAACACACTCACCCACTCACTCACCCACCACACTGCAGGTCACAACAACACACTCACCCACTCGCTCACCCACCACACTACAGGTCACAACAACACACTCACCCACTCGCTCACCCACCACACTGCAGGTCACAACAACACACTCACCCACTCGCTCACCCACCACACTGCAGGTCACAACAACACACTCACCCACTCGCTCACCCACCACACTACAGGTCACAACAACACACTCACCCACTCACTCACCCACCACACTGCAGGTCACAACAACACACTCACCCACTCGCTCACCCACCACACTACAGGTCACAACAACACACTCACCCACTCGCTCACCCACCACACTGCAGGTCACAACAACACACTCACCCACTCGCTCACCCACCACACTGCAGGTCACAACAACACACTCACCCACTCGCTCACCCACCACACTACAGGTCACAACAACACACTCACCCACTCGCTCACCCACCACACTGCAGGTCACAACAACACACTCACCCACTCGCTCACCCACCACACTACAGGTCACAACAACACACTCACCCACTCACTCACCCACCACACTGCAGGTCACAACAACACACTCACCCACTCGCTCACCCACCACACCGCAGATGACAACAACACACTCACCCACTCGCTCACCCACCACACTACAGGTCACAACAACACACTCACCCACTCGCTCACCCACCACACTGCAGGTCACAACTTTCCTTTCTGATTCTACCCTCACACCGCTCCACTTTGGAATGCCTTTCGATTCCCTCCCATCGTCGCTTTTCCCCTAGTTCTTATAACCTTGCTCGATGCAAGGAATCCCAACAACAACTCTGATCTATGTGGCACTCTCAATCATGCCGTTTGTTGCTTGCCACTTGACGTGTCATGCCTTCGGACCTGTGCTCAGCTCAGCAACCATGATATAAAAGTAAAAAGTTTGCGGCCTCGTTAAATCGGCAGCACTCGATGTGCGACATTCCAAACCCGGGAGCTGAGGGCTCTTAATTGCGTAACGAGAGAATTACGGAGCGACTGACGCAGCCCGCCTTCTTACCTCGCGTGTCTCGGTCGTCGGTAGGCGCATCATTAACATTTCCCATGAAACCCCTTTCAATATATTAACATTCAGGAAATATTCACAAAGTGTACGCGCTTTTAAATGTTACGTTCAATTTCTGACGGTACAAATATGACGATGAATCATCGTGTTTTCCCTCTGACCGTCTTTTAAACCTAGAACTAAAGTGATAAAGATCCCCCCTATAGCTCAACAAACTGTCGGGGCAAGTGCTGTTAGCGGTGGGTGGCCAGCACCACGCTCGGCCGCCTTTGTGCCCTAGTGGCGATGTTTACTACACATCGCCCCAGGTACTCAATTGAGGTTGAGTCGACCTCGGGGAGGCCCAAGACCATTTCAGATATTCGTCACCGATGCTGTCCATGAGCGGGAATCTACCTCCGGTCACTGAGATCGTAGCACAGCACGCTAACCGCTGCACTACGGCTCCCCACGGAAATGTTAAAGCAAACACACACACCCACGGCATCAGCAATAATCTTATACGATCTGCACTATTACCTTGATTTGTTTGCTTTGTGCATATTAGAGTCACGAGAACAATTCTGAACTGTGTCTAACCGTGCGTAAGCACTGTTTGTTGGAACATCCAAAGGTCCTTTCATGATTAAAGGATTAGCGCACAGACTAATTTGTGTAAAAGAATGCAACACACGCGTATAATTACCAAATCAATCCCTAGGCATGCCTCGCGATTCAAGTAAAGTATTTAGGAAAAACGTCCCTGCAAGGACGATTAACGGAAACGTCCGTGACTAAATACAGGTGGCTCAGTGGCACGGCGAGTGGCTCACAATCGCAAGATTGAGAGTTCAAATCCTGGTTGGGGGGTCAACTTGGCCCATCATCCCTCTGGACTCGATAAAATAGACGTCACTTTGTGGGAAAGTCGACATTGGTTGTCCTCTGGATAGGGTTGTGGAATTTTTACGGCACCGGCTCATGGGCATAAAAGGGATCTGGGCTCATTTGAGCAGGAAATCCCTTCTGGGATGGAAATGAACGAGAAACCGAGAGTGGAAACGCAGCGGCAGTGTTGATTGGGGGGGGGGGGGGGGGGGGGCGCCGAGGGACCCTACAGGTGGGGGTGGCGGGGAAGAGGGTGATGTTCTTGGAGCCGTCCTTTTTGTGGTGGGAGAGCTCCATGTCCTTCTTTCGGCGCTTGTACGGCACGAAGAGCCGCACAGGGCCCGACTGCACCTCCGAGGGAGCCCAGGGTTGGGGTGAGAAGAGAAATACCACGCACGATTGATTTCGGGGTTAAGCCGCGCGATGTTTAAACGACACGTCGCATCCAATTGGCACATTTGGATGCGAGGATTCTCCTATAACCTACCGGTAGGTGAGCTGAATCAATGGTGACTGGCACGTGAAACGCTTGTATGCCACGTGGCAATTCATCTGTTTGGCTGTGTCGGGTGGGTGAGGACCTTCACGACACTGATTTTGTCGGATCATCGTTGCATGGCTAACTCAAAAAACAATGGTGAATAATAACAATGGCTGACGAAGCCTTCGCATTGAAATACCCTCCAGCGATTGATTGCATTTTCAGGTTGCACCGCGTGTCGTTGTCCAACATTTCTCGCCACGCTGCAGCGAACTTCTGCAGAAACCGAAGACATTGTTGCGAGCGACACGCGGAGCAACCCGAAAGTGCACCTAAGAGCTCTATGGCACGACCGCGGAAAACTGGCGCAGAGGTAAACGCCGTCGGGTTTACAGCGTGTGTCCGTACGTCCGTGCGATTACGTTGGTGGAGGGGTAACCGCGCAATCCGCGAACGTTTACGAACGGCCAATGCGGCGTTCCCACGGCAACGCCGAACGCGGGCAGAGAAACCGCAGTCGGAAAACGCACACGAATCGAGGGCGCAAAATTCCACCGAGCGAAACGCGATCGTCGCGGCATGCGGTGGGGGCCACGACCCCCGTGGCGATGAAAGACCCCCTGATTGCGCTCCTCTTCAGGTGCCCCAATCACCGACGTGGTGCACACTAAATGCCGCTACAGACACGCTCACATTGAACCCCTGTGCACATTGCCACGCTAATTACCGCAACTCGTAAAATCAACGTTCATTCTTTCTATCACGTTCCCACGGTTATTAATTTGTACATGCCCTTATGGTGCATCCACTAGTTGTAGGTTTATATTTATTTATTTCTACCGCCAGGCATGGAATGTGACATTCGGAATTCAAATGTCAACGCCCATTCATATCGCAGCCGAAAGATGCCAAATGCTGGCGAGTGGCGATAACAAGGAGCAGTGGCCAGGAGGCTAAGCGGGAGAGCGAGCGGCTCGCAAGCAGAAGGATGTGAGTTCAAACCCTGGTCGCGGGAGGGGGGGGGGAAACTCAGCCCATCGTCCTTGCAGGGTTGACAAAATGAGTATCACGGGATTAATACATATGAGTAACCCTTGTTTTTCAGAATCAACAGTGGTCATTCGATGGATAGACTCACCACCGCCAGAGAAATGTGTAATTTCAACAGGTGTTGAATACAGCCTCAGTGCTTTCATGAGCAGAAAATCTATTTAATTTTTACTTTGAGTGAACGTGAGCAGGATGGGAATTTGATTCAGCTGGTTCAATGCAAAGGAGTAATAATCGAACTCCATTTGTGGGCCTCTTAGCTCTGCATCCCAGGTCTGAAATATAAGCGTGGTTCTTGTTACTTGTTGACCCAAGTCACTCTTGGAAAAGAGACTTCTCGCATCGATGGTAAAACATGTCAATGAATCAATGTCCAAATCACAAACAAGCAAACGGCCAGTTCAGATGTACAGTGAGGAAAAAAAGTATTTGATCCCCTGCTGATTTTGTACGTTTGCCCACTGACAAAAAAATGATCAGTCTATAATTTTAATGGTAGGTATATTTGAACAGTGAGAGACAGAATAACAACAAAAATCCAGAAAAACGCATGTCAAAAATGTTATAAATTGATTTGCATTTTAATGAGGGAAATAAGTATTTGACCCCTCTGCAAAACATGACTTAGTACTTGGTGGCAAAACCCTTGTTGGCAATCACAGAGTTCAGACGTTTCTTGTAGTTGGCCACCAGGTTTGCACACATCTCAGGAGGGATTTTGTCCCACTCCTCTTTGTAGATCTTCTCCATGTCATTAAGGTTTCGAGGCCGAACCTTTAGCTCCCTCCACAGATTTTCTATGGGATTAAGGTCTGGAAACTGGCTAGGCCACTCCAGGACCTTAATGTGCTTCTTCTTGAGCCACTCCTTTGTTGCCTTGGCCGTGTGTTTTGGGTCATTGTCATGCTGGAATACCCATCCACGACCCATTTTCAATGCCCTGGCTGAGGGCAGGACGTTCTCACCCAAGATTTGACGGTACATGGCCCCATCCATCGTCCCTTTGATGCGGTGAAGTTGTCCTGTCCCCTTAGCAGAAAAACACCCCCAAAGCATAATGTTTCCACCTCCATGTTTGACAGTGGGGATGGTGTTCTTGAGGTCATAGGCAGCATTCCTCCTCCTCCAAACACGGCGAGTTGAGTTGATGCCAAAGAGCTCCATTTTGGTCTCATCTGACCACAACACTTTTACCCAGTTGTCCTCTGAATCGTTCAGATGTTCATTGGCAAACTTCAGATGGGCATGTATATGTGCTTTCTTGAGCAGGGGGACCTTGTGGGCGCTGCAGGATTTCAGTCCTTCACGGCGTAATGTGTTACCAACTGTTTCCTTGGTGACTATGGTCCCAGCTGCCTTGAGATCATTGACAAGATCCTCCCATGTAGTTCTGGGCTGATTCCTCACCGTTCTCATGATCATTGAACTCCACGAGGTGAGATCTTGCATGGAGCCCCAGGCCGAGGGAGATTGACAGTTCTTTTGTGTTTCTCCCATTTGCGAATAATCGGACCAACTATTGTCACCTTCTTCTTGGTTCTTTCGGTAAAGTCACGTAGAAGGGAAGTAATAAAATAATAAAAATAAAACATAATAAAATAAAATAATTCTCACGATGTTTCGGCTACAACGCAAGCAGCCGGCTTCAGGTGAAGAATGAGACACTACCAAACTAGGAGCTTATATATAAGCTGCGTTGGAGGTGGAAGAGCGCCTTAACAAAAAGAATGTGCATATGAAGAGGAATTTAGCATATTCATGGAAAATGCGTAGGCGTTGGGCGGGGGGGTTTCAAAGTCATATTATGCCCATGCATTATGCAGGATCAGCAGCACCAAGGGGGGGTGCAGGGATTAGGAGTAACAAAGGAAAGGAATGTTAATGATATGTAGCTGCAGTTACTCAACAACCACGTAGAAAACTAAAGTATAAACTACATAAAAAACTAAAGTATAAACTGCATAGCACCATCAGTATACTTACTATACTCTACAATAAGCTGAGTTACTAACAGCAAGTAATACATTACAATTCTACGTCGTAAAAATGCTATAATATGCTTCCATCTAAACTTTATTCTCTTACATCACAAGAGCATATACCGTACTATATACTGCCATAGATAAACCCAACATTAAATTATATACTGTATTGCTGTAAACCAACCTATACCTTATACATTTTAATATAATACTATGTATTATTCTACACACCCTAATGTGTATCGAAATGGTTTATTACGTCCTTCCAATGATTGCTAAGCCAGAATCCATCTTCTCGGTTAAAATTGTCTCTGTGTTTATATATGTGGATCGCCTCATGAACGAATCTCTCATGATAGCCAGATGGCTTTCTCTGCAAACCATTTCGATACACATTAGGGTGTGTAGAATAATACATAGTATTATATTAAAATGTATAAGGTATAGGTTGGTTTACAGCAATACAGTATATAATTTAATGTTGGGTTTATCTATGGCAGTATATAGTACGGTATATGCTCTTGTGATGTAAGAGAATAAAGTTTAGATGGAAGCATATTATAGAATTTTTACGACGTAGAATTGTAATGTATTACTTGCTGTTAGTAACTCAGCTTATTGTAGAGTATAGTAAGTATACTGATGGTGCTATGCAGTTTATACTTTAGTTTTTTATGTAGTTTATACTTTAGTTTTCTACGTGGTTGTTGAGTAACTGCAGCTACATATCATTAACATTCCTTTCCTTTGTTACTGCTAATCCCTGCACCCCCCCTTGGTGCTGCTGATCCTGCATAATGCATGGGCATAATATGACTTTGAAACCCCCCCGCCCAACGCCTACGCATTTTCCATGAATATGCTAAATTCCTCTTCATATGCACATTCTTTTTGTTAAGGCGCTCTTCCACCTCCAACGCAGCTTATATATAAGCTCCTAGTTTGGTAGTGTCTCATTCTTCACCTGAAGACGGCTGCTTGCGTTGTAGCCGAAACATCGTGAGAATTATTTTATTTTATTATGTTTTATTTTTATTATTTTATTATTTCCCTTCTACGTGACTTTACCGAAAGAACCAAGAAGATGAATCCCTGCAGTCACGAAAGCTTTAAATCGAAATATTGTCACCTTCTCACCAAGCTGCTTGGCGATGGTCTTGTAGCCCATTCCAGCCTTGTGTAGGTCTACAATCTTGTCCCTGACATCCTTGGAGAGCTCTTTGGGCTTGGCCATGGTGGAGAGTTTGGAATCTGATTGATTAATTGCTTCTGTGAACAGGTGTCTTTTATACAGGTAACAAGCTGAGATTAGGAGCACTCCCTTTAAGAGTGTGCTCCTAATCTCAGCTCGTTACCTGTATAAAATACACCTGGGAGCCAGAAATCTTTCTGATTGAGAGGGGGTCAAATACTTATTTCCCTCATTAAAATGCAAATCAACTTATAACATTTTGACATGCGTTTTTCTGGATTTTTTTGTTGTTATTCTGTCTCTCACTATTCAAATAAACCTACCATTAAAATTATAGACTGATCATTTCTTTGTCAGTGGGCAAACGTACAAAATCAGCAGGGGATCAAATACTTTTTTTCCTCACTGTATCCGATCATGTCCGTGCGACGACAATGCGCTCCGTTTCACCGGGATCCCCCGGCATCCCCCACTCGGCCCGGCCTTGTGGAAATAAACAGCCAATCGCGCGGCGGCGGTGGCGGTGTGGACAGCAGTGGCATCGGCCTCGCTGACCACCAGCAGGAAGGCAGCGTGGATCAGGAGGCGCCGGGCGAGAGAGGGCCACGGCATAAGCCCTCAATGCCGCGCCGTAGGGGTTTTTGGGATTACAATGAAACTCTTTAAGTGCTTTTCTTTTCCATAAGCCGGTGCGCCAGGCTCGTGTTCGTTTTTAACAAGTGCCTTAAAGGACAAAGAGCATGGCCGGCACCGCTGAGATCCTGTGTTACAAATCAGGTCGTTGCTTGTGCTTAAACCGGGATATCAAGTGTAATGGAATTGATAGTTCCAGCACCGTCATCAATGACTGCACGAAAAAAATCTCATCACATTAAATTTGCTTCTGCACTTAATCAAGATAGATTCTAGCTCTTCAATAATTACTGGTTTGACTGTCATATAACGAACATTCCTCTCAGCGGCAGGGCAAGTGAGAAGGTATTGCCCCTACTCTCTGGATCTCAGAGGTAGCACTGGGATATCCACTTCTGTGGGCTGTTCTCGAGGGTTGAAGTGCTGTGCGAGAAATCCAAATGGCTTGTGTTTTATGACGCGACACCAATGGTAAAACCGGGGGCGAGGGGCCGTGGGCGAGGGGGGCAATAAAAATTGTACGGTGAATAAAACCAGTAGCAGCCAGCAAGAAGCAAAATGGATGCAGTGTGGTGGCTTGGCTGAGTGTGTGAATAAGTGTCGACAGACACGCACACGCCATGGCCCGATAAACGGGACAAAGTGAGACAAAGTGGGGAATGCACTTGCACCACACGCACGCACGCGCGCGCGCACGCACGCACATGCATGCATACACACACATTCATGCATACACGCAGGGATGCAAACACATACATACATACAAATACACACACATGCACAGACGCACGCGCGCGCGCACACACACATACATGCACGCGCGCACACACACACACTCACCAGGGACATGTCATCGCAGCAGGAGGCACAAGTGCAGGAGGCAGCGTGAGGGGTGAGCAGCCCATCCTGCACAACAATGACAGGGCCACATCAAAGAGGGGCGGTTAGCCGATCGTTGCTTGGTCACTCACAGGCTGAACAAAAGCGACTCTGCTTTGATGGAAGGCATGCGCTGTACTGCGCTGAAATAATTTGCACTTTAAAGTGTTATTTTAAAGTGCAGTTTTAGTTAAAAATGGGAGAGCGGTGGCGCGGTGGTTGGTGCACTGCGCTGTGAGCCTGGCAAAGCGAGTTCGAATTTTCCCGGTGGCTAAAATCAGCAGCGAGCGGTGTCTGAACCGGTGATGGGCCATCCCATCTTCAAGAGCCCACAGTGACAAGCGTGGGTGAAGCATGGTAAAACGACCCCCAACACCGCATTGCATTGACGAAAAGGCTGAAACCTGTTGTCGAGTTATTATATTTTGTGTAAAGCTATGAGCACTCCAAAATTAACTTTTCCGACGGGTGTGAACCACGTTCACTCGTTGTGACTGGTGATAAAATCATCGCGGAAACAGCCCGGGAGGTGCAGTGTCGCGGGACACGAGAGCAGACACGAATACCGCATGCACAGAATACGAAATGAAAGAATAAAGCACTCTCAGGGCATCCCAAGCTCAAAACATTGCCGCCATCATCAAACACCGGAATTGCTTCCACGAAGGCGCGGATTGTCTCTGGACCTCGGGGCAACTGTCAAAAAAAATAATCACGTGATTAGTTTTATATATTTCTGTACCTCATCCAAATTGCAATCTCACAATCGCTGAGGAAGCACAGAGAAGCTGGAAGGCTGCCAGGCGGTGAGCCGGCGCCAAAAATTGTTCTGCAAACTTGTTCTGCAGTTGGCTGAAAACGTCTTAACGTTTTTGTGAGTGTTTAATTACAGAGCCGGGAGGAAACCGGAGCACCCTGAGAACACCCACGAATGTGAGGGGGCAACACTCTACAGTGGAGACAGATGATATTAGTCCACACTTTGTTGTACTATGTTCTGCTGGCTAGCCAGTGTATAACACCTCCTCCACGCCCACAGGACGACAGGCAGCCACGTGCATACTCACCACCACCGCCGCCCGGTTGAAAAGGGCTGAACGGCCAACACAAGTGGCAATGCCACGGACTGGACAGTGCACCACAAAGACAAAGATCCTCCGTATAGCCTTAACAGACTTCTCGGGCAGGTGCTGTGAGCGAGCACACGAGGGGGTGGGTAGCCAACACCATGCCCGGCCACTTTTGTCACCCTATTGACGATGTTTACACACCACACCCGGTACTCATTTGAGGCTGAGTCGATCTAGGGGAGGCCCAGGACCGGAATAGAGCAGGAATCGAACCCGGGTCGGCAGGTTCATAGCGCAGCATGCTAACCACTACACTTCCGCTCCCCACACACGAACGTACACGCGCACACCGCTTGGAAAAGCTTTTTTTCTCCTGCCGAGAGCCATGTTGTCAAGCAGAAAACCAAGATCTCTTCTGTCGCCGTGTTTCCGGAATACCGTCTCCGCGCGGGAGGCTTTGACCCGCGTCACCTCTCAGCCACTGCCACGTTCACAACATTCGCAGCGAGCGATCCTAACAAACACGTGGTGCTGACTGTGATCGCTCACCGACTGCGTCGAGAGATTTCCCTCACTCAGCTCCGCTCGTGCGCTGCGGTCGTGAACAACGCTCCATTGCCAAGCTTGGATCGTTTTTCTGAATGCTTCTCGAAATTAATTATGACGCCGGGTTCCGCGAGAGCTCGCTTTGGAGATTTAACGTCCCACTGTGCTGTACGCACATGCGTGCGCCACGCTAAGCTGCCACCCGTGCGCGGATATCTGCCAGCAGACGCGCGCATGCTCGAGCCTCGTCGCATGATGCACGTACAAAATTGTTGTCATTTTGTCTGCTTTACATGGAACGAAAAGCAGCCAGCCTGCATTTTGTAGAATGGCCGTGTCTCTCCTTTCCAAGACTGTTTGATTTGAATGAACAGTCCATTTTCTATACGATTTTGTATTCGCCGGACTTGATGCACGCTTCAGTAAGCTCGAAATATTTGATGGGTCCCCGTCAACTGTAAATCTGGCGCTATGGAAGGCGAAAAACAAAACATTCCATCTCCGCACACCGTCACAGATGTATTGTGACGTCTCTGAAAATGTCAAGTAAATGGCCATATTCTTTGGGTCTTTCGGTAAATGGCTGGGTGTGCCTCTTCCAAAGGGACGGACGTAGAGTGGATGCCTGGATGGCATCTGTCTCAAAATTTTCCATTAAAACATTGACTACAACCGGAGATTAGGGAGAACCCATTGGGTACCTTAAACTTGTTTGTAGAAAGTTCCATTCCAGGTGAAGTAAGTGTTGGTGAGGCAGTGTCTAACCAGGGCCGGTACATCAGCATTCAGTCTTTGTTGGACCAAATCTTCAATGATTGCAATGGTGTCAGGCACAGGAACTTTGCTAAACAAAGAAACTACATCGAAACTAACGAGCAAATTACCTGGAGATAGTGAGATGTCCTTAATTAACGATACCAAGTGAGCTGAGTTAAGTACAGCTGAGGTGGTCTCAGACAGAAATCGGGCCAGTTTGTAGGTGGGTGACTCAATGGTGGAGACGATAGGACGGAGTGGTGTACCTTCTTTATGGATTTTTGGTAAGCCATACAATCTGGGTGATCGAGCAGCAGAGGGTTTTAATGAAAACCGCTTGGTTGGTTCGATTAAAGATGTCGAATCGGTGATGATATTGTTGGTTTTCATAACGAGGCTGTTGGTGGGATCTCTTTTAATTTTAGTATAGCTACCATCATTAAGTAGGTCCTGAATTTTGTTATTGTACGTGGTTTTGTCCATGATGACTGTAGCATTGCCCTTGTTAGCTGAGAGGATGACGATGTCATCTCTCTTTTTTAATTGAGAAAGCTCAAAGTGCTCATCCTTAATGATGTTCATCTTCTTGGTTCTTTCGGTATGAATCCCTGCAGTCACGAAAGCTTTAAATCAAAACTTAATGATGTTGCTAATAGGTGCCTTAGAGTTTTTTAGGATTGTAGCGATTTCCGATCTTGCCACGTCTGCAGTAATCTGTCCCAATCCTTTGAGGGCTACGTCAACCTGGGAAATGATGTCATCAACTGGGATGTGTTTATGGGTGACTGCAAAATGCAATCATTTAGCTAGAACCGATTTTAATCGGCCATATTAATTGAAAACGTCACAACGAGGTGGCTGTGTGGCTCAGAAATCAAGAGCTCTGAGCCGGTGCCGCTGAGCTCCTGGGTTTGAATCCAAGCAGCTCTCAGCGGCAGGGTGAGTGGGAAAGTGCTGCCCCTGCTATGTGGATCTCAGCGGTGGCTCTGTGATATTTGCTTCTGTGGGCTGTTCTATAACTCGAAGGCCGCACTGCTCTGCCAGAGTTTCTAATAGATGTTGCCTTTGAGAATGGCATCCATTCCACAATTGGGACAAAACTGTGGTGGAGAATCTTTTTTTAAAAACAGAATAACATTTCAACAGTGTGAAGAATGCATTTCGGGTGAAAATAAAAATGGAGGTGCACTATATTCAAAAGCTAATCTTTTCAAAAACGGGTTGAGCACAAAATCTATAAGGACACGCGCTGGTCAAAAACGAGCAAACGGCTGCACCGGGCACGTTCTCCTGATGGGTCAATTACGGAGACGTGCGGCGAGATCCCAAGGGGCCCCCCTTCCTTCCGAGGGCAGCGCAGCGCTTAAACGGCTTTCTATCGAAGCTCCTGGTCAGCCTGTGCTAGGCAGGAGCTCGCTCATTCTCCTCGAGAAAATCCAAACGTCTCCGCTGTGTCGCGATACGTCCAGGTGGTAACAATACAGAGACTTCAAATATTCTGGTTCACAGTTTTGGTTTGAGAACTCGGTTTAAAAAGAACATTATTTCTTTTCCAACGTCTAGTTTCAAATATATTTTAGTTCATTAAAAACCCACTTTCACATCTTGCTACAGATGTGGTTTTGATATATTTTCACAATTGGGCAGGCACGTCATGGGAGTTCACCGGCCATACCTCGAAAGTCATCTACTAACGGACGGCACCGAAAAGCTCCGACTTGCTTCAATGCATCAGAAACGGCACGAAGTTGAGAACAAGGCAAACAAATCCACCGTGATAGCGTGCCACAGACTCACACGTGCCCCTACGCCGTCGCTAATACCAACACAGTATCCCTTGTGTTGGTAAATATGGCCCTGGCCACCGATTGGACCGCAGTGTCTGGGGGCAGGGGTATGGGGGTTGGAGTGGGCTCCTTGCCCACCCTGCTCATCACACCCGATTGCACCCGATTGCACGTGACAGCACGCTACTGTGGTGGAGCTTAGCACTCTCTGCTTTCGTGGTAGTGTGGAATTAAACACGAAAGCTAAATTCCGGCAATCTCATCAGAGCAACATTTCCAAAAACAGCTTTGGGGGTAACGAAGCATGTTGGCACCAATCGGATTACCGGGCCCAAATGGAAAATCCCAAGCGCCAACACTTTCTTAAACCATAATTTCATAAAAGGGATGAAAATCTGTTTGGCCTTTTCACTGTTTTGCTTCCTTGGTACGCTGGCCAAGCGGGCAGCTTCGTGTGTGCCCGGTCACCCCGCTCGCCGCCGCTCCCGTGAAGCAACAACGACGAGCGGCGTGCGCGGGGGGCAACGCTTGCTGCCCGTGCGGTACCGACGGCCGCAGCGGCAGGGGGGGTCCGTCCGGCAAGATTTTACAGCGGCGGAGGAATTCCGGCTTGACCCTGGCGCCGGCGCGCCGTGAGCTAGGCGCCGGATTTGATTGGCGGACACGACTCCTGCAATTGCCGCAGGAACTGGCTGGACAGCCGCGGGTGGGAGGCCGCCTCAACCTCAACCGTGCCGGCAGGAAAACAGCAACGAGCCGAGGATTCGTGAGGTACGAACAGTATCCGACTACCCACAGCACGCAATGGAAAACATACGCGCAACGCAATCGTCGATGACACTACGACCCTCAAAGGGGAAACATGCAA